TTAGCTTTATATGTGCATGATTAAACAGCATCATCGTGACAACAGCTGTGCATAACAAGGCCGCATGCACAAATGCTATTTTTCGCTCCAAAACTACAAAGGTGGCTGTCAGCAGCTTGTGTTCCAGAGTATCTGTGCTTCTTCTTGGCTTTCGATTATGCAAGTGTCGGCACCACAGCATTAGAGGCGAATGAGTACACCGCATATGAAATCTGCCTCCTCCTTGAAGATGAAAGGGTGTAAATAATGTATTTTGTGTCACTGCATTATTCATCCGCAATTAATTGCAACAACCAGCCACATTTTTTTGTGCTGTTCGTTTGACTAAATTTCATTGCTCTTAGGTGCTGTTTACTATTGCCTGGAGGGCAGTAGGTAAATCTGTACTCAGGGATTGCCAAGGTGCCTGCCACTAAATAGAAATGGGAAGTATTCACTTTCATTTTTATCATAATTAGGCTAAACAGTACAAGCTTAGATTAGTCAACAAGTTTTTTGGTTGATAAATAGAGAATGCTTCTCTAGTGTCTGATATATGTTCTTATTCGTGTTATGCATGAAGGTGCCTGTTATGTATGGGAGGAGGGGCTTTGGAAACATTGAGAAAGCATAAAGGCACAATTAGAACAGCCCCATATTTCTGGTCTCTGTAAATCATGTTGTTCAGAGGCCCGCGTACAATCAGAGCAACGTGAATCATTTGAAAAATACATGTTGTGTGGCAATTAAATTATATAGCCGCTTGGACCAGGGAGCCAAGACCAGTGCATAGATTGAATAGTGAGGAGCCATTGCTATGCTTGCATTAGCATCTGGCCCTTTTATGTAAATTTGATGAGAGAGGACTCATGCATATATGGCAGGAGCTGGGGTATACTTGCCTAATATCCTTATTAGAGAGAGGGGAATTAAATATTTATTAGGGGGGTACCAAGGGTTAGAGAAGGGGAGGGGACACAGAGTCAGACCTGTGTTGTCGTGAAGACCTGAGGTAGAGGAAAGGGTAAAAGGGAGGAGGAGATTGGCTTTCTGTATGAGTGTCTCTCTCTGCCTCAAGGTGCCACCATCTTAAGGCGTTTGGCAGTAGTGAGAGTGTGGGGAGGGTAGACCTAAAATGTCCGCTGGCACACACATGCACACACATACACATTAGCGATTGCAATTTTTTTTTTAATTTAATTTTTTTTGGTGTATTTAGGCAGAATGGAGATCCCAAAGGCAATTTTATTTTAGTTACGGTCGCCAGACTCTTGCATGCTAAGAATCAAATTTGCATCCATTAAATCCTTCGATTACTATCAGTGTGCACCAAATGAAGCTTTGTTTAGTTTTCTAACGCTTGCCACTAATTGGACAATATTGCTGCCACGAACAATGTAAAATCTAAGCTGGTATTTTCTTTATTAATATTTAGTTTTCTGTTTGTTGTTTTTTTTAAATTTTTTTTTTAGTCTGAGCTGACAATTAATTGCCAGGTCCAATAGTAATGTCCAGTGGCACCACCAAGGGGGTACCAAGAGTGGGTAATTTCCCCTCCTCAAATTTGTTGGCCCATCCCTTACCCCTTGAATTTCAGAAACAAAAGAGTAAGCGTTAATAAATTGCAATGCATATCTATATTCAAGTGCTCTATGTTTCACCCGTCTTATTACCCCCTTATGAAGTTTTTTATGGTTCTGCTGCTAAATTACATAAGGTTCACATATTGACATCAGAACTCAGGAGTTACAGAATTTTGAAAGGAACATCACAGAACAAGCATGGTCTAATTTATCAAATCAGCTGATTTTTGTTGTATACATAATTGAAAACAAATCAATAGCATATTATTTGTTTACTTAAATAAAAATACATGTTATGAAAATCTAAAACAAAGAAAAAAACTATAATAAAAGTAACAACCACAACAACAATAATAATAATAATAATAATAATAATAATAATAATAATAATAATAATAATAATAATAATAATAATAATAATAATAATAATAATATTACAGAATCTGAAAATAATCTAATTTAAAGCCTTTAAAAATTATAAGAATGATCTGGATTTTCTTTTTTTTAATTTTTGGAATTCACCTAAAGTTCAAGTTATACCATTGCAGCAAACCTAAATAAAAATCCTGGCTTTTTATTCAGCTGGTGCCACCCCACTATTAATTACGAGCAGTTTCCTTCTGGTGTCCCCTTGCAAAGCCTCCTGGAGGAAACAAACAGAGATACACAGACATGACCCATCAGTTTATTCCAGTTCTATAAGCTGAACATAAAAAAAGCATTTGAAAAATAAATAAGTAAAATAAAAATACTTCTGAGATGTATTGTGTATTTATGTCCTTTTTGCAAGAATTGTGTCAAATCGTTCATATTTTACTTTTATTAAGCAGTTATTGTAAACATAATATGCCACTGCAGCAACAGAGAGAATGACTGGGAAGCCATTGACTTCATAAGTCTTTGATGCAAATTAAAGTTTTCTCTGGTATCATTCGTTGCCTGTGTTACAAAAATAAAAATCACAAACCGTAGCTAACCTCTACCATCTGTATGCTTAGGAGGGTTGGGTGAGATACAGATACAATATTAGCAAATTTTTTTTGTTTGTTTTCTCGTTTCAATTTTGGAATTTGTGCATGGCAATATTTATGGCTTGCAATACATTTATTGGCATGCGAATTTCTGTGGGTTGCTGATTTATTTATCTTACATTCTACAATTTTCAGAGCGTGCATGTGAAATTATCCCCTTCCTTGTACAGTTATCCTGTTGTCGGCCTTTTATTATCCGCGCATAGTCTATTGCCTCTCTGTTCCTTCTGATGAGTGGTGCGGCCCGGCGTGCTGCTGAAGAATTGAGAATAATTAAACGGCTGTGAGTTTTAGCCCGGCGTCGGCTAATGGATTATTACCGAAAGGAAATGAGACAGACAGCATGGGGTGAGCCGGGTGGCAAAACAGTGCCTCCACTCTGGATAATGAAACACTGAAAGCTACCTGGGGTATATAGAGAAGACACACCTTACCTATAAAGAAAGGAGGCACTTTTCTTCTGTGCCTACTTCCTTTTGTCCTATATGTATAAAGGGGTGACACACAATTGCAACCGCATTGTTGCAGACATATGTGATGTTTTTAAATCAGTGCAGCTAACGTTTTTAGGAAATTTTGATTACCACAACTTGTGCACTGGCACTACGTAATTCTAGAGAAACAATAACCATGGCACCTCCTACCCCCTCACTATCTCCATATTCTCTCTCATCGCCACTATCCATCCCCCAACCCAGCCACCTTCTACACATATCCTAAGAGTGTGGCGCTAGGAAGAGATGGGTGCTAGAGGGAGATAGGATGAGACAAGCCACACAAGCTGCAAAGGGAACAAAGTGAAGGTAAAGGGGGAGGAGCGCTCCATGGTGTCCTAAACTGTGCCGTAGGGCTTGAAATACACATATGCACACTGATTTGGCACCACACCACAAGGATGCTTTAAGATGTGTAAAACAATGCTCTGTTCATAGCCTGTGTGGCCAGTCATGCATTTTTGTACCAAGTGTGTGGTGAAATAAAATCCTGAAAACAAATCAATTAATTTAAACGACTCTTGTTGTGCTTTGTTAGCGACTGCAGACTTACATGACGCAGAGAATGTGTTTGTGCCAGTCTGGATTTGCCCTGATGGATGTTAGCTGAGAGCTCTAATAAAACGTGGCACCTGTCAGTTTGATACTGACATATCAGAGGAGTCACACAATCACCAGGGACAGAAAAGCAAACTGCATATGCTTTACATCTGTATATTTTTGCAGATTTTGAGCGATTAGGATAAATGCACCCTCTTTTAGATGAGAAGCAAAGCAATCTCAAATGTTATTTTAAGAGTACCAGTCTTGTTATTTATTTTTACTGTTATTGGCATGTGACCAGGGTTTCACCTTACTGTCTTCAACCAGTGTGGCATCGGTGAACGTCAACAGTTGCATCTCAAGTTAAAGCAAAGTTTATTACTACACAAAAACTGAACTAATATTCAAGTTGTTAAGTCAAAGGTAAATCAATCAGTACAATCTAAACAATGATAAGGAAATTTTGTTTAATCTGGTCAACATAAAAAGTAAATGTAAAGCCACAATACCTTCCCTTTCAAACGCACATCGCTTATCAACTTTTTTTTTTTTAACCATCAAAGTAGATTTTTTCTGTTTTGCTTTTCGATTAAAGAAACATGACTTATTTGCTATTTTTAGGATTTGAAGCAATACAAGAAATACAATTTTCCAAAGAGTGAATCGTTACATTTCAATAAACGTTCCCGGTGACCTAATGACAAGTGAGAGAACAGCAAAAATTGATTCCTTGTCCTTTTGGTGTCATTCTGCTGAGGAGTTTCTGTAACAATATTGCAGTCAAATCTTAGTAAACGTAGGGAAAAAAAATATAATAATAAAGCTTTATATTATCTAAATAAAAACCTTTTTGGTACTCATCAGTTCTGGCCACAGTTATTAAGGCCTTGGGAGCCACATGTGGCTTAGGAGCTGTAGTTAGCTGACCTCTGGGATAGAGGTCAGAGTGGAAGACACTGGTGTTGTGGTAGAAGTAGTGGGGAACAGTTAGCTACAAAAGGTAACATGGCATTTATCATAATTGTCTGATAGTTTAAGAAGAAATGATGCAGCTGTTCATTTCCAGGCTGACTGTTAAACTTGCATTTGTGGAATATGTAAGTATTAAAACAAGCTTTGACATTCTCTTCAGGTTCTGCAGAAGTCCTGCGTTTAAATTGCTGATTTGAGGGAGATATTTGCACAAAGTTATTGCAAATTTGAATTCCTCAAAACAAACATAGCAATTGCTGCTCTCACTTCTTTCTTTTAATCTTTTTTAATGGAGACAAGTTAATTGTGATTTGCAGTGGAGGAGCTGTTCAACAGCTAAAGGTTCCCTTTGGGTAAACATAGTCTCTCTTACTGTATTTGTGTGTGTTTTGTTGCAGCAGTAGTGGAGAAATGGAGCAACAGGCAGCTGCAGGACGCAGAGAGAGGAAGCCATCACAGAATCGGGGATTTTGATTTTCACTGGACCTGTACAAGGTAAGATGTGGTTGATGGCCAAAATTAATGTTGGTCTATTTGTCCATCCATCCATTTTCTGTTCACCCTCACCCCTACTGGGGTCGGGAGTTGCTGGTGCCTTTCAGGGTACACGCTGGACAGGTCGTCAGCCTGTCGCAGGGCAACACAGAAACAAACAGGACAAACAACCATGCAAACACACCTAGGGAGAATTTGGACCTAACAGTCATGTTTTTGGACTGTGGGAGGAAGCCGGAGAGAACGCACACATGCACAGGCCGGGCCAAGCATCGAACCCAGGACCTTCTTGCTGCAAGGCGACAGTGCTACCAACTGCGCCACTATGCAGGAAGAAGTGCTTTTTTTGGCCACGGAGTTAGGCCTAGGACGAAAGTTTGTTTAGGATCAGGGTTAAGCATGTAGTTACTGGTAATGGGTAAGTGTAAGTATTAGGCTATAGAAATGAATAAAAACTGAATGGAAGATAGAAAGAGATAGTGTGTGTGTGTGTGTGTGTGTGTGTGTGTGTGTGTGTGTGTGTGTGTGTGTGTGGGGGGGGGGGGGGGGGGGGGGGGGGGGGTGTGTGTGTGTGTGTGTGTGTCCTTTATGTGTACAATGTCAGGTCCCACCTTCAGACCTACAAATTTACTTTTTCTTTTCCACCAAAATTGTGGCATCTCACAACTAGAAGACAAGCAAACTTTATGTTGAGCAGAGAAGCATTTGAAAGAAAAAGATGCTAACTGTATGTTGGCAAAGCAGATTCTACTGCTTTGCTTATTTTAAGTTTGACCTCTTGAGATAATCAAGTGCATCAATGTCATAGGAAAGAACCTACACACCTGGAAAAAAAATATATATACATATTTTGGATTCTGAACACTTCAGAATCCTTATAATCAAAAGTTTATTCTCTGTCAGTTATAAAGAAATTAAAAATTACTGAAAAGAGAAAAAGTTATAGGCTGATGAGATGAAGTGGCATGTCTACACCCCTGGGTATTAGTGTACTGCAGTTTAACTGACTTTAATTACTCCCAGTTCTCCCACACTTTTGGTGAACTTCTCAAAAGGTCCAATTAGAAGAGTAGGGAAGGTCACTGAGTAGAAATAGCCATCTAGTCATTTCCACAGAGAAAATTCTGCAGAACATCCAGAGCAGAGGCACTGGATGGACCTGACTGATTTTTAAGCTCATACTGAAGATTGTTTTAGCCAGAAATGATTTCGTCTTCAGTAATCAGTTTAAGGCAGAGGCGAATCTAGAACAGCTAAATGAACGTTCCATTGTTGAACACTTTAGCAATCAGATAATAATGTACAGCTGAACTGAGCCAAACATGTTTTGTTTAATAATCACATAAGTCAGATGAAATGCTAATTTGAAAAATATTATTTTTCTTTTTGCCCAATATTTAGGTCCCATTTTTATTTTGAAAGAGCTTTTTTTTATAAAGCAACAAAAGGTGCTCAACACAGGACTTGACAGTCCTTTCATTCCAACCATTTTTTGGAAATGAAAAGCGAATTCAATTTAGTGTTTTGGGGTTTGATATTATTTTCATACTCTGTCTTTTGATTAATTTTGCTAAGTTTTCTCTTCAATTTCTTCAATTTCTTTTTCAACTTTCAGTTAAGTTGAAAGATGCTTACGTATTAAATGCGATAACATAACACTTAATAATTTACTTATAGTATTTCCAGAATGCGAAGTCAGCAACAAGTCATTTTAAAAATTAATTGCAACAACTTACAGTGTCATGAAATGTGACTCAAGTTCAGAAACAAGCGGCAAAACGACTCAGGTAAATTGTGACATTAATGACATCATTTACAAACTGTGTGTAAACAGTAGGGGCATTCTCAAACCCGCACTGTGTGTGGTTTTGCTTGATGATGAGGTTTCTTGTGCTCACCTGATACTGCTTGCTTTGCACCAGCTTTTTGTTTCCCCCAAGCCTTACCAACTACGGTTATGATGAGCCAGTTTGATCTCAGGTCCAGCTCTGTGGTGGAATAGGTTTTGTTAGCAGTTGGAAGCAGACTCAAAGTATTTCTAATGGCATGTTTTTAAATTCTAGAGATGAATTTTTGATAAACCTAATTTCACACTCGAAAAAAAAAACCATCTAAAAGTAATAATAGAAAGTCAGACCTGTAATATAATAAAATAGCTCTCTGTCTCTAATCTTCCCACTGTTTATTTTGAACTCACCCGTCACAGAGTCGAAGTTAGTTATTGTGTCACACAGCACCGCAGCTACAGCTGATATTTTCTGCTGAATCTGTGAATATAATTTTACATGGAGTTCCCAAGCAGCAAATATTTTATTCCAAGTCTGCTGGCATTGATTACGAATATGCTATGTAAATATGTGAAACTTTGATGAACTTATTGTTTTAAAACAAATAAAATTTCAACTGGTTATATAAAACAATCCTTGCAGGTATACTGAATAATGTGATGTTGTAGTTAAGCTATCTCCCCACGCTTCATCTCAACTACAAAAATGTAAATAAAGTAAACTGAGAGGGGATCAAACATTCACTGTCTGAGATGTTCACAGTGACAGAATGGCAATGAGCTGGCTCTGTGGTCGAAGAAAACCAACTTGATCTCCAATTTAACCTGTTAAGAATAAGCTTAAAAGGTTCAACAATAAGCAGGAATAAAATCCTCAAGGCTTCCTGTGCATCAGGGGACTCATTTAAATTACAAAGACAAAACATGGCGAACCATAACACACAAAAATAATCATTGTGATATTACCAAAGTCCAAAATGTCTGTTTTTTCATCAGATAAAAACCACTAATACACATTGTACAAATACACCTCTGTAAATCCTAACTCGGGATTTACAGTACTTAAATCCTCCCATTTTACCCATTAAAAAAAAAAATGAAATAAAGTTTCCATTTACCAAAAACACATTTGATTTTACTTAGACATCTCTGTTTAATATAGAGTAACTTGGCAACATCTGTTCTGTTTTTGTACACAAAATAATTTAAGGGCCTGGGCATAGACTAGCCCATTAATACATTAAAAATCCTAAACTTGGTAATTTGCATTAGAATTTTAAGCAAACACCATAAGCTCCTTAAAAGCAGTTTACATCATTCCAATTGTTTATTTGGAAGAAGGACATTTGGCTGGGACCCCACAGAATTAGAAGAGCTGAAAAATTTGCAAAGACTGCTCATACTTTGGGCCGGCCAGGGCTTTCAGATGAGCTCACAGTGTCAAATATTACTAAGCAAATACTTTCAAAATTTCTTACCTTTGGTACTTTACATCTGAATCAATAAAATGCATATAAAGCTAACTTTGTTGAACATCTTAGTGATAAATTATATGAAAGATATACAAAAAAAAAACACTGCATGGGTTAAAGCACGTGCTCTCTAAGTCCCCAAGCCTCAGTGTGTTTTAGGCTCACAGGGCATAAATATATGATTCTACATTATTTAGTTATGGATAAGCTTTTTGTTTGACACGAACATCTTGCCCACCCACTGTGGCAGGAGCTGAACCAGGTCATCTCACCATCTTTGTAGAAACGCAAAGAAAAACAGCTCATGGATTTATTTGTCTCTCAAACTGTTTAAATCCTTTTTTTTATGCCTACACATATTGCGCATACATATGCATATGCACCATATTACATAATAAATTTCACAACTGAAGGAATACAAAAGTATTTACACTGTAAATTGTTCTTTAGTCTGCTATGCCCAGTAATAAAACCATAAAAAACACAGAATGTTTACGTCAAAGTATAGCCTGCCCATAATACTCTTCTTCATTTTACTGCGCTACAGTTGTAATCATCTATCAGACATGCATATTGGTGCTAAGGCTGCTTACTGTTACCGTACCATCGGGAGTAAGTCTTCATAATGAGGCCCCCACATTCTGAATATAAACCCTCAAACCCTCACAGAGGCTGGCCCCTCAGCTAGAAGTGCCAGCTAACAGAAATTAATAACATCATCTGAATGTGTCTGTAGGATTTAAGCGAGCTGAAATATGCATTAGATGCATGCACGGTGTCTTATCTGCACTGATAAAGCAATAAAAAGTGAAAAGGAAAAGATATACATTTTTATACTTGTATTGTGTAGGTAAATTGAAAGGCGTCTGTTTTAATAGATGATACAAGAGCAAACAATTTTAACCTGTGAAAAAAAATATTCCAGAGGCACTTGAATGAGAAAAAGGTAAACTATTTAGAAAAATATTGCAAGATATGTGAACAGGTATTTTAAGTGATTTAGTTTCCATCTGTAATTTTTCTATTTTCTGTTTGCCATATTTTCCATGTTTTGTGCTTGGAAGCAATGCTTTGCCACTTATTGCAGCCACATATGCCGATAATACAATATGGCTTTTGCTTGTTCCACAATTCCACACCTAACTCAACTCTTTTTGCATTTCATTTCACTATAATATCATAAATCAGTTCTTTCTTTTTAAAATCACAATTAATTTTTTATTTTTTTTTGCATCTAATAGCCAAAGAGCTTTGACTTGGGCGGGTAACAGAGATCCAGAGGGAGGGTTTTTCCTGCATCATCCTACAGTCAGAACAAAGGATATGCACATACTGAAAATCATGCAAATACATGCAAATTGCCGGGGGCGAGAAATAGCGGTGTGTGTGGTAGGAAAGGAGTTTGTATAAGCAGCGAGGAATGCAAAGGACTTGGTACACAGCACATGCTTAGATACTTTTTTTCTCAAAAAATATACATAACTTCAAAGATAAAGATGTTGGACTTGAATATAATTCTGCATCTCTTCTGGAGACGACTGCCTCCACATGAATGCCGGTTAGATCTGTTTACCCACAATGCTCGCGGAATGTGGATCTCGGCATGTCTGCTTTCTTTATTTATTCTTTGCTAAGAATTATATTCCATTTATTATGATGCAAGAAACTGCACACCATTCAGAGAAGACTCTAAAATGCAGTGAATGCAAATGTGACAGACAATGCCTGCGAACGGCACCCCG